TAATTTGATTGTAGTTACCCAATAAAGGTAGTTTTACTAACAGTAGTTTTTCTTTTGTACCCTAATTGTCTTTGCTAAATAAATATTTCCTAACCACGTAATTACATGGTAATAAGGTAGTAATTACCATTTAATTACTTTTTATTACCTTGTAATTACATGGTAATAAGGGTACCGTAAAAGAAAGCTTTACCAAATTTGTGACTCCCTTTAATTTTCTTTTTTAATCCGGTTCCATCTCCGGTAATAAACTGTCCCTTCATGTTTTTCTCTCTCTGCTCTTAGTAACTTCACCTTGCAGTACATGCCTCTGCCCCTCAGTGACATCAGCCAAGCATACCGCACCGCTCCTGACAAAACAGAGCAGGCCCTGACAAAGGTGGGCTTCTCTGCAGCTCTCAATATCAGGAAAAAAAGATTAAAAACTCAGAAAATCCACGAAAAAAAATTTAATTTGTGAAAGAAAATAAAAGAAACAGAAGTTTTTTAAACTGCTTTCAAACTATTTTATTTGTCCGAAACTTGAGTTTTTAGTTGCTATTTGCTCTGAATGCAAATGCGCAATAATCTGGAAACAGTTCAGTCATTCACAACATTATGGGATGTCACATAAACAGTGAACACGAGAAAAATAGCATTGTAGCCAAAACCAGGCTCAGATCTGTTAAAGTGGGGTACTGTGGGAAGATTATGCACAAGATGTGTCTCATTTTGGACAAATAGAGTTTAAACTAGACAGAACTGATGGGTTAATGGCTAGTCTGACTACAGGTCTAGGACCACAGTGGATTGCTGTTGTCTTTAAACAACTCGTCTTCAAAGTTTTGTGGTAAAACATGCAAAGTCTGTTTTATAGATATTTAAAATAATTTTTCATTACATAATTATACGAACATTTAAATTGTGTTTGCTGCATGACCGGTTTCACCTGTTCCTCCCATGTTTGTCTTGTATGTCTTCTTGAATGGGTGTTTCTTAACTGCCCCCTACCCCCCTTCCCTGAAAGTACAGCACCTTGTGAATTTATTTCTGTGAAAGGCACTATATAAATAAAACTTTACTTACTTACTAACTTACATGCTTAGAAAACCATTTGTTTGTGTGTAAATCATCATCATATTTTCCCTAAATAACTAATATTAAATGAATGTCGATGTAAAAGTTGATAAAATAGTGTTTACATGAACATTTTGAAGATTACAGTTGTTCTAAAACCACGAATGTCCTGATCTGACTAGCCTTTAGCTCATCATTCAGGTCAAAATTAAATATTCCTCCAAAMTGAGGATGTTTAGACATCTACACCAGGTAAAAGATATTATTATTTACAACAAATTTGAGCTTTTTCGTAAAAATGCAGTGTGAACGCTGAGAGCTAAATGGCTGTTGAAATTTGTTGAAGAAGTTGAAACTGAACTGTTAAAGTTGAAACAAACAGAAGATTAAACAAGCAGAACACCAGCTAAATTGAACAGAACACTAGCTAAAAGCTGAAACTAGCAAAACATTAGCTAAACGCTAAAGTTAATAAAGTAGTAGCTAGTAGTTTGGTGATAAAAATGAGTATCGGGAGCTTTAACAGACAGTTAAACTCTGGGTAACGCTTTCTTTTACGGTACCTTGTTACCATGTAATTACAAGGTAATAAAAATGTAATTAAATGTAATTACTACCTTATTACATGTAGTTATGTGGTAATTGGGGTACAAAAGATAAACCACTGTTAGTAAAACTACATTCATTGGGTAACTACAATCAAATTTCTATTCAATAGTAACTCAATACTATTTATAAACCAAAATAATGCAACTGCATTTTGGGGTTAGTGCTTATTTGCAATAAAATATAACTTTAAAACTGTCCAAATTGCCTACTACTTATTTAGGTGTAACTTAGTGAATTGCAATACATTACCAGGTAAGCGTTACATTACTGCAGACAATTACATAGTAAAATTGTACCCTAATTACCATGTAATTACGTGGTAATAAAGTAGTAATTACATTACTTTTTTATTACCTTGTAATTAATTACATGGTAATAAGGGTACCATAAAAGAAAGCGTTACCAAACTCTGTGTGTACTGTTTCTAACTGGACCAACAGATCCAGCGGGCCCTGGTCAGAAACAACCAGACTCAGCGTTTCTCTCAGCGACAGGCTCTGCGGCTGCACCAGGGTTTGGTCACCAGCACCGCTGAGCAGGTAGCGCTCACTGCAGTGCACATTTCACAGAGTTCACAAGCCTCTCTGGTACATTATCACCAACACCACCTGTTTGTCACCAAAGGTGATGGAGCGCCTGTGTGTGCGCGTCCAGCAGCAGGTGTGTTTGTTACGTGGGGCTGGAGAGAAGGAGGAAATTCAGGCTGCAAAACAAGTTTTGAAAGAGGCGAGGAACTCCCGTGCTGTGAGTGATTTTTAAGTCATTAGTTCTGTCATTCTTGTATTGTACACGCACAATTMAAAACAKYTAATCAAAAAATTCAAAATGCTTGCAAAGCTAGTACAAAACAGTCATATTTCAGTCATTAAGATTCATTAAGTTATTTTCTGTGGTATTAATTGAGAATCCCCCCATRCGTCCCACTTCATGTTAATTCAGTATAAAGAGAATTAAGGATGACACGCAGAGAGGCAGGAGTTTTTCTGTAGTGTTTAAATGCTGCTTTTCTTTCTGTTGTTCCAGCTCTATCCCTCTCTGTGTGAGCTGGCTCATGTGTTGTCTGTGGACGGACCGGTGAGGCAGAGACTGGACTCTCTGTCTGGGGAACTGGCCAAAGCTGCAGATAAAGAGCTGCAGGTAGATCTAGCAGCCTCCTTTCACAGTCAGATTGTCAGCAGAGGACAGAGTCACTGATAACTGGCATCCGTTTTAGGTGATTGTCGACTCAATGGTGTCACTCTGCCGCGAGCTCTGCCCTTTATCTTCCTCTGCAGCCGAGAGATTAAGCCCTTCGCTCTCGTCCGTCTCGGAGCGCGTGTCCATCCCTCGCTCCGCTATCCGCACCGCCCTGATGGAAAGAGCTGCACAGGATGTTCACAGAGCCTTGGAGTAAGAGAAGTGACTAAATGTCTGAACTTGATAAGCAGGATATTGATTTTGTTCTCTGTTTTCAAAATTTCCCTTCACTTTTCTTTAAACCAAACCCTCTGCAGAGAAGTGAAGCTGTCCGTGGTTTCCTATCTCACCAACTCCATCGTGGATCAAATTCTGCAGGAGCTCTACGCCACTCATAAGACTCTGGTAAATGTGCCGCTCTCACTGTGAGACAGGTGTGAACCAGACACAGATTGACTGAAGCATAGCTGTCAAAACATCTGAAGTGCACGGTGTGTTTCAGACACAGCAGGTGTCTCATCTCAAATGCTGGGAGGGGCCGTGTGAAGAGGAGACAGCGTGGACCTTTAACAGACACAGAGACTCTCTGGACTTCACAGATGAAGAGCTCGGCACCAGCATCGTAAGTGTGAATACACAGATTTGTGGTTTCATTTCTTACCTCCTCACATCGTTCTGCTCTCAGTCATCAAATAACAAGCTGGTTTGTTACCTCCGCCAAGGGCGAGGTAATGTTTTCAGTCACGTATGTCTGTCCGTCTGTCTGTCTGTCCGTCTGTCTGTCTGTCTGTGGACAGCATTACTCATAAACTTGTGAATGGATTGTCATGATATTTTTACCACATGTGGATGCTGGCTCAAGCAACACGCCTTTAAATTTTGGTGATGTTACGGATCACGATACGGATACAGGAATATTTTTTGTCTTTTAACACTCTGACATCAGCAAAGCTGTGATGCTTTCACAGGGCGTGGGTTTCAATGTGTCCAGCAGGTGGCACTGTAGTATTGGTGTGGCCCTTTGTAACTTTATTACAGGATGGGGAAATTGGTCTTGGCGGAGGTTTGCACTCTCCGAGTGCTTCTAGTTTTTCACTGATTTTCTTTATCATTTGCTGTAGAACAGCAGAAAGCAATATAAGCTTACATACATACATACATACATAATAATGTGGAATGGCACAGGGAAAAAGTATTGAACACACTTACTGAAATTTATCTAATACTTTGTACAAAAGCCTTTGTTGTCAATG